TCCTTTGATATATTTAGTTTAGTTTATTTTATTATTTATTCAACATGTATAAATATCTCTGTATTTTCTTTGAGTCTTAGCACTGACAAGATCTTAATCTTTTAGGTACTAAACTTATATATTATATTAATAAAGGAGTATAATTAACCAAGTATAAAACTTATCTTTCACAAACCCTTTTAAAACTGTTATACATTATCTGTGATCCTTTGCATTCATGCAATCCCTTTTGTTAGTTAACTTATTATATGATATTATATTGATTCGCTGTATTGACTTGGAGTTTCTGAAGCGTAATCTCTGAAATATCTTTGAGTTACTTTTGTGTTTATTTTGTGTTTAATCTCACGTATTTATTTATGAGCCATGACGTTGATTTTCAGAAGCCTTTTGAGAGGTGGGACTAATTAAAACCGGTGAATGTCTTATAACTTAGCAAGCGACAAAATCACTAATCGACAAGTTTTCATTGCATTCATTCTCTCCATCCCAATAATGGTTCCTAGTTAGGCAAAAATTTTATTATGTTGTCAAATCGATTGACAAAAAAATATCAAGAGATGTCCCATTTCAAGAAAGCATAAAATTATTCCAAAAGAGAACATGTCCATTGCAAAATTGACTTTCCTTGATCGTACGCTCTTATTATTTCGGGATCCGAATGATTTCTATATCGCAAACTATTGACCTTTCAATATAACCGTTCTTTTCCTTGAAAAGTCACATTATATCCTTTTTGGTGTTAATTTAGTATGTGAACTATTAAAAAAAAGTAATCAAGAAGTTTATTAATGAAGTTAATATTAATTTTCTGCGAACTTACAGAAACTTACCAATGTCATATTTTTGAAGTTCTGAGAATCGCGTTACTAAATCCTAATACCTTAAATATTTTGCTTTAATTTTTTAAATGCATCACAACCAGGTTTGCGGTATTAATTACCTTTATTTGTCATCTTTCTCTTTATGTCTTTTGATTATAATCTTGATAACTTAAAATGTTTCAAAGTTCATATAAATCACACAGCATACCATATTTGCTTGTGATGGGATGGATAATTATTCATCTATATGGATAAAATTAGAATCGGTATTTTTGAATTAATTCGACTCCTTTATAAATATTTGTAAATTACCTTCAAATTCATGCGTTAAATCTCGAATTAATTTTGGATTGTGGTATTATCTGGTTCCAGTTCATGCCCCAGCCAAAATTTGCGATAACAGATTCTTGTTATTGGGGTTAATCGCATATTGTACGGTAATAAATGAGTAAAATGAGTGATTGTTAATATCCAAGTCAATCTTTTACCAGACCTATTAGTATAATTAATATAAATTCCGATTTCAAACATACCAAGATTTCAATTGTAGTATAGGCTCATAATTGGACGGTGGATATTGGACAGAACTTGCGATAGTGCATCCTGGAAATAAGTCATCTTCTATATTCATTCCAGAAATTTTAGCCTTTATTTCTTCATAAACTTTGATTCGTCAATTAGTTACCAAAAACTTCTAAATATGTTATTGTACGCGTAAGCGCGTTAATTATTAAATATTTGAACAATTAAATGTAAAGCTACTTATTCTAATTTTCATTTAAATTGTTATTTTTCCATCATTATCGAGAACCGATAGCCATAGCTTGTTAAGTGATTGACAGTAACTAAATACTTTTGTTTTACAAATATATTTTAGATGATGTATGAAATTTATTGTGCTAATGGTAATTAATTAAAAATATTGGTTTTACGTCACTTCTCATATTTTCTTTTAGATGTAACGGAATCAGTGGTAGATAAGTTACACAGTATTTTCCGCAATTGTGTTAAACCGAGAACATACATATATAATAATAAACCAGGGAACAGAAACCGTTCTGGTCTAATTTCGATAACATGGCTAACAATTAAATAAGCTTATTTATGTAACACAAAAATTGGTAATAAAAAAATCCACAAATTTCATTCGTCGATCAGGCTATAGTACAGAACGACATTGCATTAGAAATGCTTAATCCTCCGCTATGCTTCGGACAATCATAATATAAAACAATTAACTATTACAACTTCGAATAATAAGTGAATAGCATAATTTGGCAGATTCACAAAAACAAACAATGAAATAGAACTGCAACCCGTCACAATTTCTAAATCCGTTTATCCGATTCCTTAACGGTGTTAGACCTGGAATTGAACCGAAACCAAGCTAACAAACTAAATAACTTAAAAACTCAATTATCTCGAAGGCCTTTTCTAAGAGAATTAAACGATTAACAAACAAAACGATCGATTCACTTGTGTAGTCAGTTATCACGATCAAATACTGATATGAAGACAAACTGTTATTATGCTACGCTTTTCAATAATAATAAGTTATACATAAAATGAAATTAAATAAAATAATACAAGTAATGAAAGATAAACTATTATTGTTTTCAGTTCTTTCGTTTATGTATTTATAAATAATTTGTAATGTTAGCAAATGGTTTTTATGAGTAATAATTGAATAAAAATGAAGTAATATTGACAAGAATTTATTTAATATGATCAAATTAATCAGTGTTGCCTCAACGTCAACGCTCTATACTTTCGCTATATCAATATATTAAATTAAGTAAATGCCAAATTCTAAGTCCTAATTAATTAAAGCTACGCAATTACGAAACTGTTACATAAAAATTGTATAATAAACTACTAATAAAATCGGAAATTAAAAATGAAATAATAAACTGCGTTACAAAATGCGAAATTAAAAAATTAAAGGGCGAAAATCGAAATTATCGCGAAGGTGTAAAGGGAAGATAGCGAAGGGAATGTCGCCATGACATCCTGGCATTTGATCGTTAAAAGGACTAACTGTAATTATCAATAACGATTTTCAAGCGAAATTATGAAGGTGTCGGCCGGAGTTACATTTCTTTGTAACACTATATAATATATATAATGAAAAGTAAATTATTCGATTATGCAAAGTAATTCAAACGTAACGTGTCACATATATCACAAGTGTTACATGTATTACTGTATTACTTTTGTTGTAACTCGCATTTGGGGTTACAACAGCTATACAAAGGTAACACTGATTATTGATAATCTGTGGCTAAGAAATTTAAAGTTACATGATTTACCAAGTGCATTTTTTTTTTCTTGCATCTTTTTTTATTTTTTTTACCAAGAATTTTTACCATTCCATTTTACAAAAAAATACAAAAATATCAAAATGCAAGCTGATAATAATTCAAATGGGTGGATTAATTTGATAGATGAATATATTTTAAGAAACAATATTAAATGTTACGAATACAAACATTTTAGCAATTTTCAAGAGATCGGTACTGGCAGCTTTGGAAAAGTCTATCGCGCAAATTGGAAAAGTTCAAAACAACCTCTTGCGTTGAAATCCTTTCATAACCTTAACAACGCCACTGTTAAAGAAATAGTTCGTGAGGTAATTACAAATTTTAAAATGTATTCCGGTCTATTTCAATCTGTTGCATATAAATCATTTATATATATATATGAATTTATTTTTAGCTCGAACTTCAAAGCGAAGTCGATTTTCATGATAATATTATTCGCTTTTGTGGAATAACTTCAAAA